TTTCTTTCAGATATTTGTATTTAGTAAACTCTTAGCAGTTCATGAGTAATGTGACACCAGTCTTGGGTAGAGGCTATTGTTGACTGTTCTGCGCTTTGATTTAGATCATGATTCAGACTTCCGCTGTTATTATTAAATTTCATGTTCTATATTGATGTTATAAATTGTTAAAAGATTTGTTAGCAATGGAAGAGTAAATGAGTAGGCTTGCCTAGCTACCACGAGTAGGCGCCATCACGACCCCGAGTGCAGGAAATCCGGGTCGTGACAAGTTGGTATCAGAGCACTAGGTTACATAGGTCTCACAACTCACGGACAAACTCAGTAGAGTCTGAGGGGTCGGTACGGAGACGTCTGTACTTGTCCCCCAGAGGCTATTGAGCTAGGAAAAATCTCTCATTCGTTCTTTCTTGTCGTGCGATTTGGTTTCTCAATGCTGATTGAATTTCTACTCTGTTCTTTCGTAGATGGCGAGAACACGCGCTTCCTCATCTACCGATCAGCAGTCCGAGCCCCAGACAGCTCCCGCTAGGGGCAGAGGACGTGGCCATGCTAGGGGCCGAGGTAGGGGCAGGGCTCAGCCCCAAGCAGCAGCACCAGTGGCGGAGCCTCAGGTTGACCTTGAGGAGGAGGTTCCGGCCCCAACCGCAGTAGTTTCGGTGGGCCCAGCTCAGGTCCCAGAGGGGTTTATTGCTTCCCCAGTTCTTCAGGACGCTTTGGTCCGGTTGGTGGGCCTCATGGAGAGTGTCACCCGAGCAGGATTGCTTCCTGTAGCACCAGCCACTTCTCAGGCTGGAGGAGGGGCCCGGACTCCTGCTGCACGTACTCCGGAGCAGGTAGCTCCCCAGGGTCAGATTCCAGCGGCTCAGCCAGATACGACAGTTCAGCCGAGGGTAGTTGCACAAGCCGGTGATGGAGCGGCTATGTTCGCAGATGCTTTATGGAGGCTGGACAGGTTTACCAAGCTCTTTACTGCTACATTCAGCGGAGCTTCTTCTGAGGACCCCCAGGATTTCTTATATAGCTGCCACGAGATTCTTCAGAACATGGGCATTGTGGAGTCCAATGGAGTTGATTTTGCTGCCTTTCGTCTATCTGGATCCGCCAAGACTTGGTGGAGGGATTTCTGTTTAGCCAGACCAGCAGGGTCGCCGTCTTTGACTTGGGATCAGTTTTCAGAGTTTTCGTGGAGGTCATTCGGGTCACCAGGGCCAGCCACAGTGTTCAGAGGGATGTTATGAGTGTGGTGAGTATGGTCACATCATGAGAGCTTGCCCGAGATTGAGGGGTACTCAGTCTCAGCAGCAGGGTCCCCGTCCTTTTATTAGGGCACCAGATGCCCCACAGCCAGCTAGAGGTGGAGGCAGAGGTCATAGAGGTGGAGGTAGAGGCCATGGAGGTAGAGCTCAGACCGCCAGGGGCGGAGGTCAGCTAGCAGCAGATCGACCTAGGGATACAGCTCAGGGTGGTGGGGCCCAGCCTTGTTGCTATGCTCTCCAGGCTAGACCAGAGGCAGTGGCCTCAGATGCGGTGATCACAGGTACGGTTCTGGTTTGTGATCGAGGTGCTTCGGTACTATTTGATCCAGGGTTTACGTATTCATATGTTTCCTCTTATTTCGCACCATGCTTGGTTATGCCTAGTGATGCTTTAGGTATTCCTGTATATGTGTCTACACCGGTGGGTGACTCTATCGTGGTCGACCGAGTCCATCGTTCGTGTGTTGTAGTGATTGAGGGTCTTGAGACCCGTGTAGACTTGTTACTCTTAGATATGGTGGACTTTGATATCATTCTGGGTATGGATTGGCTCTCACCCTATCACGCTATCTTGGACTGCCATGCCAAGACTGTGACTTTAGCTTTACCGGGTATGCCTCGCTTAGAGTGGAGAGGGACTCCAAGTCATTCTACCCGTAGTGTCATATCGTACGTGAAGGCTCGACGTATGGTCGAGAAGGGGTGCCTGGCCTATTTGGCCTATGTTCGTGATTCCAGTGCTGAGGTCCCTTCCATAGACTCTGCGCCTATTGTCCGGGAGTTTCCCGATGTCTTTCCTTCAGACCTGCCGGGTATGCCACCCGACAGGGATATAGATTTCTGTATTGACTTGGTTCCGGGCACTCAGCCTATTTCTATTCCGCCGTACAGAATGGCCCCACCGGAGTTGAAGGAGTTAAAAGAACAGTTGCAGGATTTGCTGGAGAAGGGTTTCATTAGACCCAGTGTGTCTCCTTAGGGTGCGCCGGTGTTATTTGTTAAGATGAAGGATGGGAATGAGGATGTGTATTGATTACCGGCAACTGAACAAGGTAACGGTCAAGAATAAGTACCCACTGTCGAGGATTGATGATTTGTTCGACCAGCTTCAGGGTGCCAGGGTATTCTCCAAGATTGACTTGCGATCTGGCTACCATCAGTTGAGGATTAGGGNGCTACCACGAGTAGGCGCCATCACGATCCCGATGGTGGGAAATCCGGGTCGTGACAAGTTGGTATCAGAGCACTAGGTTACATAGGTCTCACAACTCACAGACAAACTCAGTAGAGTCTGAGGGGTCGGTACGGAGACGTCTGTACTTGTCCCCCAGAGGCTATTGAGTTAGGAAAAATCTCTCATTCGTTCTTTCTTGTCGTGCGATTTGGTTTCTCAATGCTGATTGAATTTCTACTCTGTTCTTTCGCAGATGGCGAGAACACGCGCTTCCTCATCTACCGATCAGCAGTCCGAGCCCCAGACAGCTCCCGCTAGGGGCAGAGGACGTGGCCATGCTAGGGGCCGAGGTAGGGGCAGGGCTCAACCCCAAGAAGCAGCACCAGTGGCGGAGCCCAGGTTGACCTTGAGGAGGAGGTTCCGGCCCCAGCCGTAGCAGTTCCGGTGGGCCCAGCTCAGGTCCCAAAGGGGTTTATTGCTACCCCAGTTCTTCAGGACACTTTGGTCCGGTTGGTGGGCCTCATGGAGAGTGTCACCCGAGCAGGATTGCTTCCTGTAGCACCAGCCACTTCTCAGGCTGGAGGAGGGGCCCAGACTCCTGCTGCACGTACTCCGGAGCAGGTAGCTCCCCAGGGTCAGATTCCAGCGGCTCAGCCAGCTACGACAGTTCAGCCGGGGGTAGTTGCACAGGCCGGCGATGGAGCGGCTATGTCCGCAGATGCTTTATGGAGGCTGGTCAGGTTTACCAAGCTCTTCACTGCTACATTCAGTGGAGCTTCTTCTGAGGACCCCCAGGATTTCTTATACAGCTGCCACGAGGTTCTTCGGAACATGGGCATTATGGAGTCCAATGGAGTTGATTTGGCTGCCTTTCGTCTATCTGGATCCGCCAAGACTTGGTGGAGGGATTTCTGTTTAGCCAGACCAGCAGGGTCGCCGTCTTTGACTTGGGATCAGTTTTCAGAGTTGTTTCTGGAGAAGTTTCTCTCCGTTACTCAGAGGGATGCTTATCGGAGGCAGTTTGAGCGCCTCTAGCAGGGGTCTGTGACAGTCACTCAGTATGAGACCAGGTTTATTGATCTAGCTCGCCATGCCATTGTCATACTCCCCACTGAGAGGGAGAGGGTGAGGAGATTTATTGATGGTTTGATCTAGCCTATTCGTCTTCAGATGGCTAGAGAGGCGGGGAGTGATATTACTTTTCAGGAGGCGGCCAATGTGGCCCGGAGGATCGAGATGGTTCTGCCATACGGGGGTGGTCATAGAACAGACAAGAGACCCCGTCACACAGGTCGGTTCAGTGGTGCCTCATCTGGGGGCAGGGATTCTTATGATAGGGGTCAGACTTCCAGGCCTTTCCAGTTAGCCCTCCAGGTTTCTCAGGGTGCCCCAGGTGATCGTGGTTCCCGTGGGCATTATTCTGATCAGCAGTCACTTAGTGCACCGCCAGCTCCCGTCAGTGCACCGCCACTTTAGAGTTTTCGAGGAGGTCATTCGGGTCGCCAGGGCCAGCCACAGCGTTCGGAGGGATGTTATGAGTGTGGTGAGTATGGAGAGCTTGCCCGAGATTGAGGGGTACTCAGTCTCAGCAGCAGGGTCCACGTCCTATGATTCAGGCACCAGATGCCCCACAGCCAGCCAGAGGTGGAGGCAGAGGTCATAGAGGTGGAGGTAGAGGCCATAGAGGTGGAGCTCAGACCGCCAGGGGCGGAGGTCAGCTAGCAGCAGATCGACCTAGGGATACAGCTCAGGGTGGTGGGGCCCAGCCCCGTTGCTATGCTCTCCAGGCTAGACTAGAGGCAGAGGCCTCAGATGCGGTGATCACAGGTACGGTTCTGGTTTGTGATCGAGGTGCTTTGGTACTATTTGATCCAGGGTCTACGTATTTATATGTTTCCTCTTATTTCGCACCATGCTTGGTTATGCCTAGTGATGCTTTGGGTATTCTTGTATATGTGTCTACACCGGTGGGTGACTCTATCGTGGTCGACCGAGTCCATTGTTTGTGTGTTGTAGTGATTGAGGGTCTTGAGACCCATGTAGACTTGTTACTCTTAGACATGGTTGACTTTAATATCATTCTGGGTATGGATTGGCTATCACCAATCACGCTATCTTGGACTCCATGCCAAGACTGTAACTTTAGCTTTAACGAGTGTGCCTCGCTTAGAGTGGAGAGGACTCCAAGTCATTCTACCCGTAGTGTCATATCGTACGTGAAGGCTCGATGTATGGTCGAGAAGGGGTGCCTGGCCTATTTGGCCTATGTTCGTGATTCCAGTACTGTGGTCCCTTCCATAGACTCTGTGCCTATTGTCCGGGAATTTCCCGATGTCTTTCCTTCAGACCTGCCGGGTATGCCACCCGACAGGGATATAGATTTATGTATTGACTTGGTTCCGGGCACTCAGCCCATTTCTATTTCGCCGTACAGAATGGCCCCGCCGGAGTTGAATGAGTTAAAAGAATAGTTGCAGGATTTGCTGGAGAAGGGTTCCACTAGACCCAGTGTGTCTCCTTGGGGTGCGCCAGTGTTATTTGTCAAGAAGAAGGATGGGTCAATGAGGATGTGTATTGATTACCGGCAATTGAACAAGGTAACGGTCAAGAATAAGTACCCATTGCCGAGGATTGATGATTTGTTCGACCAGCTTCAGGGTGCCAGGGTATTCTCCAAGATTGACTTGAGATTCGGGTACCATCAGTTGAGGATTAGGGCATCAGATGTCCCTAAGACAGCCTTCCGCACTCGGTATGGGCATTACGAGTTCCTGGTTATGTCATTTGGGTTGACCAATGCCCCGGCAGCATTTATGGAGTTGATGAACCGAGTGTTCAGGCCATATTTGGACATGTTCGTGATAGTCTTTATTGACGATATTTTGGTGTACTCCCGCAGCCAGGAGGAGCACGAGCAGCACCTTAGAGTGGTTCTTCAGACTCTGAGGGATAGTCAGTTATATGCCAAGTTCTCCAAGTGTGAGTTCTGGCTGAGTTCGGTAGCATTTCTGGGTCACGTTGTATCAGCTGAGGGTATTCATGTGGACCCGAAGAAGATAGAGGCAGTCAAGAACTGGCCTAGACCAGCATCAGCGACAGAGATTCGGAGTTTCTTGGGGTTAGCAGGCTACTACAGGCGGTTCGTAGAGGGATTTTCATTTATTGATACAAATGTGTTTATATTGAGTATTGTTTCCTTGTTCATCGTAAATTTAGACTGCTTTAGATTGTTACTCTGGATTACTGTTAATATTGCCATCTCCCCATAGCATGTTTCCCCTCCCATATTGTTAATTGTTTGCTATTTCGATTCGGTTGTATATTTATAATTGCACAGGTTTATGTGGTGTCCAGTCTAGCCTCGTCACTACTTCGCCGAGGTTAGGCTAGATACTTACCAGCACATGGGGTCGGTTGTGCTGATACTACACTCAGTGCATTTTTGCACAGGTCCAGGTTTTGAGGAGCAGCAGCAGCATTAGCACGGGAGCAGGCTTTCATTATCACGAGACCGAGGTAGCCTTGCAGGCGTCCGCAGGCCCGGCGTCTCTCCCTTATTTTCTCTTCTATATTGTTGCCTCCTTGTTTTCGAGACAACAGTTTATATATTTCTTTCAGACCTTTGTATTTAGTAAACTCTTAGCAGTTCGTGAGTAATGTGACACCAGTCTTGGGTAGAGGCTATTGTTGACTGTTCCGCATTTTGATTTAGATCATGATTCAGACTTCCGCTATTATTATTAAATTTCATGTTCTATATTGATGTTATAAATTATTAAAAGATTTGTTAGCAATGGAAGAGTAAATGAGTAGGTTTGCCTAGCTACCACGAGTAGGCTCCATCACGACCCCGAGTGCGGGAAATTCGGGTCGTGACAACGCTATGAAACATCCATAATATAATCTTCTAACAATTCAAGTCTTTGTCTGTGAGGTGGGCTAAATTCATTTTTTTAACTTAAACTAGAGTCTTCTATAGCTGTAGGAATGACAACATATACGCTGCACAAATAATACTCCAAAATCTTAAGTGCGTTCATAATGTAACTAACTCTGGGCCATTGATCGAATAATTCCTTTCGCGCCTTCTCAACTTTCATTAAAAAGTAAGCAATTATTTTTCCTGGTGGTTCTGTCACTTGTTGAATGAGTACTTGGCTTATCTAAGTACCCGCATGATAGAACTTAAGGGTCCACCAAATTATATAGAGAACTAGGTTCTCTATCAGCTCCCACAGTCAGCAACAGACTATAAAACCAAACAGTATAGGAAACTAGGTTTTCTATCTGTTCCCGCAGTAAATCGGCAGTAAATAACGAACACGTGATATTTACGTGGAAAACTCCTTGTTTATGGGAATAAAAACCACGACCTACTCTAGTAGGATTTCAACTCCACTAACCGAGCAAACTTCAGATTACAACCTATGTAACCTAGGAATTAACCTCTTAATCCCTCACTAACTTGTAATACTCTATTATAAGCCACTTTGTAATAACACTATTACAAAGACTTTGGTATCCCTCACTAACTTGTAAAACACCTATTACAAGCCACTTTGTAATACCTCTATTACAAAGACTTCCAACTTGACTAACTCTAGCCAAGACACAAACACAATGGTGTATGATTTACAAAGGTTTCCCATAAAATGCTTCTAACTAAGCTAAGTAGAATTACAAGTGAAGAACAAAATAACAAAGACTCAACAAACCTAAGGATTAACGATATCTTCAATCTTTGGATCTAGTCCTTGAGGTTGCAGTAGCTTTGTTCTTGAGAAATGTGGTGGCTAGCACTTGAGAGAATATTTTCTTTTGATTTGCAAGTGTTGGGGAGATAAAATCCATTGCCTTATATTAATAATATATGTGTGTGTGATGTCATCAAGGGTGATGTAATAAAGTGTCCTTTAGTTTTTCCTTAGCAAGCTACAGTTGTGCTGATGTACTGTTGCCAGACGGTACAGTGCAGCAGCTTTTACAACTGTAGAGTTGACTGTACAATGACCAGGGGAACTGATCCCTATTTGTTCCCTCATCTATTCCCTCTACTGTTTCCTTATCTGATTTCATTGAGAATTGAACCAAACATCTGAATAGTTACTCTGAATGCAAGGGAACTAATTGTATCAGATTCCTTATCTTGTTTACTTGTGAAGTTTGTCAAATCATCAAAACAAAAGATGCATAATTTATCAATTTCCCCCTTTTTGATGATGACAAACTTAGAATTGATACCCCCTCCCCCTGAGAACCAGATCTCCACATTGTTCCCCCTACGAATCAGCAATATTCCCCATGAGAACCGGACCAAAGAACTGATCACAACTGGTTCTTCAAGATTGTTTGGCAAATCATCAAAACACAAAATAACATAACTTATACATTTCCCCCTTTTTGATGTTGACAAACCCAAAACTAATGTTCCCCTTGAGAACCAGATTCCTCACATGTTTCCCTGTGGATCGGACCTATAACCAACATGTTATCAGCAATGTTTCCTCTGTGAAGCAGAGCTATCTTTCATGCACAACACAACATATCAATTCGATTTTGTTCCTCCCCCATGTTGACACCTATATAACTTCCCCCTTTTCGCATCATTGAAAAGAATAACAGAAGAAGCACAGCCAGGAAGAAGTTCAGTAACATTAACTCATGCTACTTGGGCAACACGGCATAAACAATAACAAGAACAACAAGTGAATGTCATTGCACAAAATAAAGTGATTGCCCATAGTAGAGTAATTATAATAAAAGCAAAGTAGTTTCAACAATACATAATATGACAATTTAAACAACTAAAGTACCAATGTCATCAAGCATAGGGATCAAAAGAAGATAGAAATTCAAGGGAATTTGGAAAGAGTGAAAGACATGGATCACTGGGCAGGAGGAAAAGTAAGGGGCTAAGCCCTTGATCAGCTTGTCCATTCATTCATTCACAATTCTTTGGTCAATGATCATCTGCTCTCTTAAGTCCTCCACCTATTTCCTCAATCGTTCATTCTCCTTTAACTTAGAATTCTATTCTGCCAAGGGTCCATGGGGACCTTGTTCTCTACCTATGTGAGCAGGCTGAACGATCAACTAGATCACCAAGAATCTCCCCAAGCTTCTCCTCATCAAGAACAAACTCAGTTCCATGCACATATAACATCAGAGTATCACATACAACATAGAAGCTTTTACTTCTTCTTCATAAACGTTAGAACTTGGAGGAAAAAGAAGGTGATTCTATTTTTTGGAACTCAACAATGTCAAGAAGTTCCTCCATTTTTCAGCAATATCAGAGTCAGCACTCTGTCTTACAGCACTTTCTGAGACTTCAGAGTCTTCTCCCTCTCCAAACCCGATAACTCAACCTTTTGCTTCTGTAAGGAACCAGGTTTCTCAATCACACTACCCTTTCTTTCTCCGAGTGGCCTTTCTCCCTCTTCTTCTTATCAATCTGTTCACCCTTATCATCTGCTGCATCTTTCTCAACCAACTTTCTTTTCTTCATTTTTTTTGAATTCTTTCTCACAAGTGAAGATTTTTCCACTTCGTACTTCCACAATCACCACATCAGCATGTCATACCACTTCATCATCAATCAGCCTACTTTTCATCAATCTTTTTTACTGAATTAGAGGTTCATTTAAGCATAAAACCCAATAGAAAAAGATCATCATCAGAATTAACATCCTAAGAAGAATTTGAGGGACCAGGTCCGTTATTCAGTTCCCCTTTTTCCAGCACATTCACCGATTCCTCCATCCTTCAAGGCTTCTACAAACCCAGCAACAATTTCAACCTCACTCTCTAGAATATTAGATCTACCCCATTCTTTTTCAGTTAAAGTCCCATCAAAGTATGCCAAAAGCTTCTTGGGTCTCGATTCAGTCGGAGTTAGGATTTTTGAAGGTGACAGAGTTGGGTTCACTTCTGGCTTATTTGGAGAGAATGATTCTTTTTGACATAAGGTTGCTTTAGTTTTGAAGAAAAGAATCGATTTCTGTTGGGTGTGAGAGAAGGAAATGGTTTTCGAGGCAACAGGTCAGTTCAGAAAAGGTTTAACATTTTGGACTTCAAAAATTTGGAGAGAGATGGGAATAAATTAATGACAATACACTTCAGTAGTTTAAAAAGACATATAAGTATTGAAGAGACTATTAACCTGAGTCACAGGAACCAGGTTCCTTGACGTTGTTTGAAAATTTGAGCAGAAACTCCTAGAAAAACTCCTAGAAGGGCAATGTCACTCTTACTTGTTTTGTCCTGAAACTGCCATGTATGTATACCAGTAACAATATAGATTTGAGTTAGATGTCACCAAAAAACACTTTTTAGCATTGCACATTTCCTTCTTAACATAGCCAATCATCGAGGGACCAGGTTTTTAGTTAAGCTTGATTAACCCCATCTCCAGATGATTTCTTTCAAAGTATTCACTACTCAGCGCCTTGGTGAAGATGTCTTCTACCTGGTCCTCCATCTTCCAGAACTTCTTACAAATCATAACCTTTTCAACATTATCCCTCAAAAAGTGATGTCACACATCAATGTGCTTTGTCGTCTTGTTTTGTACCGGTTTCAAGCTGTAAATACACCAAAGTCTTCAAGATGTTGCTTGATCTATAGTAGTTGAGCACAACAGGAAGCAGCAACCACGTATTCAGCTTCAGCAGTACAAAGAGCCACACAATTTGTTTCTTTGTACCCCATGAGATCAAGCATGACCCCAGAAAATGTGTCGTCTAGATGTGCTCTTTGTGTCCACCATATATTCAGTATAATCAGCATCAGCATATCCAACCATGTCAAAAGTATCTCCTGAAAAATAGACGAGGACCAGGTCCTGTGTTCCCTTAGGATACCTCAAAATTCCCTTGATAGCCTTCAAGTGAGAGTCTTTTGGGCCAGGTTCCAATCACTATTCTGTCTGAAGGCCTAGGGACCAAGTGCCACACTTGGTTCCTCTGAACTAATGGAGTTCTTCTTGCATAGCAGCCATCTAGTTAGCATTTTTTAATGCTTCTTTGATGTTTTTAGGCTCGATTTGAGACAAGAACGCTGAGAGGGAAAACATGTTCCTTTCCTTAGAACTAGGTTGAATACCAGAGTCTAAGGGTGTGATTACATTTTGAAGGGATGTGAACTCTTTTGCTTCTAGTTGGATACTTGAACATCAGAATTTGAAGGACCAGGTTCCTCCATATGTGAGTCATCATTTACATCAACAGAATTATAACTTCCACTCTTTTGTTCTGCATCAAGAGTACCTAATGCAGCATCAACAACCATATGTTGAGCTTCAGTCAAGGTGATAGAGGGACCAGGTTCCTCTGTGCCTTTTGGAGATTCTGCTGCATCTCCTTAATCTCTTTGCTTGACTTGACTCATCAAATTAGTCTTTCCATTTGCAATATCTATAGCTTCACCAGGAGCATTTGTAAATTCTCCATCTTCATCTTCTTTGTTATGTGACCGTTTGCCACCATTATTGAGAACAAAACATTTTGCATCCAAAGGCTCCCAGGTAAGTTAGTGTGGGTTTTCTCCCATTGAGCAGTTCATGGAGAGACTTCTCGAGAAGGGACCTGATCATGCATTTGTTAATCAAGTAGCATGTAGTGTTGAATGTTTCACCCATGAACCAGATCCTCCATAACGGACTTGTTCACCAAATAAAAACTCGCATGCCCCAGTCGTTTGTGCTATAACTATATATCATCATCAATGACACTTAAGTGTGTTATATCACCGCTATTCAGTGAATCAAGGTCTGCAACATAGATATTCTTGAATCTCTTGGTTATCAATACTATTTCACCAGTTTTAAGATTGGTGAAAGTGCAAGATTTGGACAAGAACTTCACTTTATTTCCTTATCACAGATTTGAGACACACTCAACAAGCTATATTTCAAACCATTCACATAGTACACATTTTCAATTGCATGGGAGAGTGTTTTGTCAATTTTGCCAACACCAAGAATATAGCATTCTTGTCATTTCCAAAGGACACATTCCCACCTTGGAAGGCCTAGAGTGAGAAAATAATTCAGTCTTCTAATTTTGTGCTTAGAGGAGCCACTATCCATGTACCAATTTTTTGACTGCTACCTCTCACTCCAGCCTACACACTAAATCAATGATTAGACTTAGGAACCCAAGCCAGCTTGGGTCCCTTATAATGATAGAATAGGAGGATCAAACTTCTTTTTTCCTATGCATGCAGCACGTATTTTCTTTTCAGGGAACCGGGTTCCTCATCAGTAGGCCTCTTTTCAACAAAAACATTGTTTTTCTGCAAAGCCTGAATTTTAGTTTTGCAAGAGTCCTTGTAAGGACCCGTTTGACCACAGTGAGTGCACAACCTATTATCAGCCACAGTTACATACTTGCTGTGAGGATTATAGGAGGTTTTAGCCTTTTGGAACCCGATTCCTTGCCTGTTTCCACCATTACTCTTGTACATAAACGTTATTATATTAGAGGATCGGGTCCATTTAAGTGACTTATCAAGATCATTTTTAACCCTTTTTAAATCCTCCTGAAGTTATCTATTCTTTTCAAGCTCAGCAACAAGATTTGTTTTAACTTTCTTAAGCTCACTCTCAAGTTCAAGTTGAGCCCCACTAGCCACTTCTTTACCCTTATTGTTGTCCATCCATTTTTTTGCTTGGTTTTTCAACAAGTTATGTTCTCTAGTTGCTTCTTCCTCTTGTTCCTTCAAGTCTACAATGGAAACTACCATATAATCCCTTTCTTGTTCTATGTCACCAATTTCTTCTATTAAAGAATTTTTCTCATTAATAGAGGCTATGATAGGCATCAATCAACACATTTGCTAAGGACATCAATTTATCCTTAGAGTAAGTTTTCAAATTTATTTGAACATCAAGAAAACTTACCTCATCTTCCTCCTTGTCCTCATCATTATCGGATTTGGCGATGAATGTAAAGATTGACTCATATTCTGAAGATCCATTGTCAGCAAGCATCATATCATTACCTTAAGATTCACTGGAGGAATTTCCCCAATCAGCCAGGGCTTGCTTCACCATGTTGTCAGCAGTATCTCTTCTTTCGAACATTCTTTCAGGGACATG